AGCCGTTCATCTAAATATACAAATGAATCAAGACCATTAAAATGTCCTAGTAAGACAATTGTCTCTAACATATTTTTAAACCGCAATGTTATAGACCACTAATTTATCATCACTAACTCTACCACTAGTGAGGTGGCAATTAAAAAAAAAACAAAAAAACAAAAAACAAGGCACAAAACACATGTGGCAGTGGGTCCCATCCACTGCCACATCATTAGAGCCACCACTAATTAGTGGTCTAAAGCATTTTTGATTTTTAAAACCTTTGTTCTTGTGAATATATATATATATATATATATTTTCCGACTCAAATGCAGAAACAATTCAAGATTATGAATCCACATTGTACAAAAAATAAAATTAGTTTGTAAAACTAATATTTTACTCATGTTTTAGTAATTTTCATTCCTAATATAACATCTGCGACCCCCATATCTTTCATATCAAATCTTTTGTTCAGCATCTGCTTAGTTGATTTGATCATGTTTTGACTGCTTCCAATGATAAGCATGTCATCCACATAAAGACAAACTATGACATATCCTTGGTCAGTGTTTTTAACATAGACGCATTTGTTACATTCGTTTATCTTAAACCCATTAGTAAGCATTGCATGATCGAATTTTTCATGCCATTGCTTAGGTGCTTGTTTTAATCCATAAAGGGATTTTACAAGTCGACAAACTTTCTTTTCTTGCCCTGATACTACAAACCCTTCGGGTTGTTCCATATAGATCTCTTCATTTAGATCACCGTTTAAGAAAGCTGTCTTAACATCCATTTGATATATTTCTAAATTAAACAACGCTGCTATAGAAATAAGCATACGAATGGAAGTCATTCTTGTCACAGGAAAATATGTGTCAAAATAGTCCAAACCTTCCTTTTGTCTGTAATCTTTAACTACAAGTCTTGCTTTATACTTGTCAATTGAACCATCTGCTTTCATTTTTCTCTTGAATATCCATTTATATCCAAGAGGTTTAGAACCTGGTGGAAGGTCCATCAATTCCCAAGTATGATTTTGCATAATGGATTCAATTTCATTATTAACAACCTCTTTCCACAAAGGTGCTTCAGGACCTGTCATTGCTGCCTTAAAGCTTTGAGGTTCATTTTCTAACAGGTATGTCAGAAAATCTGGACCAAAGGATTTTGATGTTCTCGCTCTCTTACTTCGTCTTGGTTCATCATCAGTTAAATCCTGTTGGTCGAGACTATTACTAGTCTCTTGTGTTTGATTGTCATTAGTCTCTTGACTTTGTTTACAATCATCGGTTCTTTTCTGTGAACTTAATTCATGTCCTTTCTTGTAAGGAAAGACATGTAAAAAAAACACAACATTCCTTGACTCTATAATAGTGTTCATATTTATATCAGGTCTTTATGATTTATAAGTCAGAAACCGATATGCACTACTATTCTGAGCATAACCAATAAACACACAGTATACTGTTTTTGGTCCAATCTTAGTCTTTTTAGGAATAGGAACTTCAACTTTAGCCAAACACCCCCACACTTTTAAGTATTTGTAGGAAGGTGGTCGACCTTTCCACAATTCATAAGGAATGCTTTTGGTTTTCTTATGGGATATTCTATTAAGAACATAATTAGCAGACAATATTGCTTCCCCCCACAAGTTCTGTGGTAAGCCTGAACTTAGTAACATGACATTCATCATTTCTTTTAGGGTTCTATTCTGCCTTTCAGCAATTCCATTTTGCTGTGGAAAATAAGGGGCTGTAGTTTGGTAAATAATGTCATGTTATGCACAAAATTCATCTAATGGTGCATCATATTCACCACCCCTATTACTTCTAATATAAATCAATGAATTTCAAAACAAATTCAAGAAAAAATCAAAATAATTATGACTACTCAAGTCAGAATTAATGTTTTGACAAAATCATATCCTCATAAAAAATTTTACCTAAGAATCAAACAATTCAAAAACCCATTTGATTGTATACATTCCTGCAACTTAATAACAAATAAATGTCACTGTCATAAAAATATTTGTGACAGAAGAAAATTAAATTATCTCAATTAATGCAAGAGATACACCCTCATATTAATAAAATGGTTCATGGTTTAACAAATTCTACTACGCAAGTAAAATAATTATTAATGACATCTCATGTCACATAATTCAAAATAAACTAAAAATCAACATAAAGATTTCTTAAATTTACTTTCCAATTAAATTGAACGATATAACTACATACAGCTTCATGTTTAAATTTCTCTGGTGTTTAAACACCCATTCAAAATTGATTGGAAAAACCCCAATTAATCAACATATCAATTTAACATTCCAAATCACATGAAATTTTTGTTAAGAAATAACTTGAGTTGACATCATACATGCATATCAAACGCATCAACTAAAAATAATGAATTAACAAAATAAATTAATCATGCATGATCCCAAAATTTGCATCATGAAATAAAAAGACTCTCAACTCATAAATAAAATTCAATGCGTTTTGAATTTTAAACTCCAAAATGACAAAACATACATTCATTTAATAAGTTTGATTTGTACATAAATAAACTAAATATATATACATTAAAATGTTCTTGTGAATAAATATATATATATATATATATTCCGACTCAAGTGCAGAAACAATTCAAGACTATGAATCCACATTGTAATAAAAATAAAATTAGTTTGTAAAACTAATATTTTACTCTAGAAACAAATTCTTCCATGTATACTCACGATGAACTATGATAAAGTCAAAATAATTAACACATTTTCACAAAGGGTTCAATAATAAGTGGTCTACCAAACGAAACCATAAGTTACTTACAAAATTAACAGATTGTGACCAAACCAGAATATGATAAATTAACAAAATTAATTTTCTAGTTACTAAAACCAGAAAATAAATTATAACATAAAATAATTTAATTTTTCTTGTTACTAAAACTAGAAAATACTGTAATTTTATTTTCCTTGTTACTGAAACTAGAAATTAAAATACCACAAAACTATCTGATTACAAAAATCAGAAAAAACACAAAATAATTTTCTAGTTACCAAAACCAGAAAATAAATTAAAACACAAAATCATTTTATTTTCCTTGTTACTAAAACTAGAAAAAAAAATTCCAAGCTAATTTTCTGTAACACCAAATAATATTCTGCAATTGTTAATGACACCAGTATATTACTACTAGTTGTCAAAGAAAAGAGACAGTATATTACTATTATCTGTCAAATAGCATAAATCACTATTTGTTTTTCCAACCAGAATATTACTTTGAAAATACAAAAAATTAAATACAATGAAAATACCAAAAACAAAATAAGTTTATGTCTTAAGATTGTTGGACAATCTTCACTGTATTTAAATAAATTAAATTTTGTTGTGTACTAAACAACAACCAGAATATAAAGAAATAAAGGAAATGAGAGAATTTGTTTGATTACAAAAATCAAACTCGAAATAAAAATAAATAAATAAAAACAGATTTTATTTTGTTACAAAAACAAAATTCAAATCTGATTTAAATAAATAATAATAACACTAAACATAAATTAAATAACTTACTTGATATAATTTGTTTGAATTATAATCTGATCAAGTCCAATGTTTGACACAATGTCCTTAAGACAGATTCGTCCTCTCCACGGTGCTTTCAGAATTTGGACGTCTATCTCCCAAGATAAAATGATCTACTACAAACAATAGCAGCACTACAAATTGTTTGCCTAATGAACACACTACTCTCTGACAAGAAAATAATGCAGTAAAATGAAGAGGATGTTTGTAAAATTATGAAGGACGAAAATTAGAGTTACAAAATTCAAATGAGGGTTGTCCTATTTATAGATGTAATGGTGGCTATAGGTTTTGAATTGAATAGGTATGAAACCTGTTGGTTTTGAATTCAAACAGATTTGAATCTATTGGGTATACAATAAATCCGGTTTAAAATCGGGAAGGACCCTGTTTGGATGTACAGTAAAACCAAACTAGTTTAATTTTGAATTCTGAATTTTATTTTATCAAAAATAAAATTAAATTCAAATATTTTTAACCCAAAAAGATTAATATTGGGCCGAACAAACCCAACCCAACCACACACCCGCGCGCCGGACGGCGGAGCGCACGTGTGTAGTTTTTGAATCCAATGGGTCTAGCCCATTTTGTCCATAACCTCTCCCTCTAAAACACTTAGGTATCTCTTAGGGCACACCCCAAGTATCAAACCCAAGCTTTATAAACCCATTCAAAACTTTCCATCAAATCAATGTGGGACAAGCCATTTTACAACCTTAAAGAATTTCTACCAAAACTCCATTTTCATGGAACACACTTTGGCTTCAATTTCCCATTCACTCGGTAATAGTTTTGAACAATCAAATATACCACATGAATCACAACGCGGCATAGAACGTGTAACCACTTTGACCCGTGAAAATCAACGCACAAGACCCACCTAAAAAATAGACCGAATTTAGGATAAAATTCTGATTTTACTCAGAATTTATAACCATTTTCAACAATTTTGACCCTTTTTTTTTTTTTTTTTCACATCACTAGAACTCAATTAGAACTCGTGTTTTATGAGAATCACTGATGTACTAGAAAAAAAAAAACACTTCCATTCCAACCAACACTCAGACGGGATTCAAACTATGTAAAATTCCATTCGGCAGCAACAAGATCTTGAAAGAGATCCCATTACTCATATCCCACGAGCACTCCCCGCTAGTCGGAAAAGAAAATCTCGTCCCACAAGGTTAGATTCTCAAAATCATGAGCCCACGTTCAAACAGCAGCAACACCATGTTCAAATGGTCACTGCACTTGAATTCACACATGCCCCGAAATGAATAAAACTGTTGCGTGCATAGAGCGATACCTTTGTACAAACGACGACTAATAGAAATTAACAGCAGTAGACGACAACATTCATCTGAGAACAGAAGTTTACCCCTGGCCCTACCTTAGGGAAGTTCCTCGTCTAAAAAGATAGTAAAAAAGTTAAAAAAAGAAACTATGAACAAACTAGTCAAGTGAAACATTATCCAGAATACATGTTTTCAGAAATAGACACTGGTAGGAAAGCAAAGAAGTCTGCCAAATAAACACCTCACCCCTTCATTTCATATCCCATATTTTCTATACATTTGCAAACAGGTTCCCATTACCATTGTATTTGAAAACATAAAAAAGCCAACTAGGGGGAGGATGAAATGGAAATCTGATCTGTGCAATCATTAACCATTTCGTGAAAATAAATCCATGGCATTTGATCAGTACAATTCAGATACCCTTTTGAGGAAGCAACACACAAGTTCTTGAGAAGCTTAACCTAAAACAATCTCCCCCCACTTCAAAACCAGCCCAGTCATAATTTAGCCCATGGGAGAAGAATGTCAGTTAGGGTTAGAACTGCCTGACATATATAGGTCTAGGATCAAGTTAGTCATGGCAAGCTGAAACAAGGGCTCACTCTCAACATGTCCAGACCCAAAAGCTAAAATATCAGATGGCTCACTATTGCAGACTACAAGGCCTACCAGTTGCAGGTATGGCAGCGGCTTGGTGGAAAGGCTGGTGGACAATATTGTCACTTTCAAAGCCGTTGCCTGATGTTGCACCATTCTTGCTGGTTTGCTCTAAAAGGTGAACAAGAGAGATGAATATTTCCATCCTGGTGACATCCCGGTTAGCCTGTATAAAAATTAAAAGGTTAAAGACTACTACTAAGATGAGAAGGGTAACATACCATAGAACAAATACCCCATGAATTCTCAAATTAAACACCCAAACAATCACACTGAAAACACACTCTTCACACAAAACATGTATAAATACATAATGCTTTAAGGACTTGCATATCCAGTCCCATGAGAGAGAGAGAGAGAGAGAGAGGGCGAGAGTGCTGATTGTCTCAAGAGACAATTATACCCGCAGTCCCTGTAAATTGCTTTCATGTGTTAATTTGTTCCTTGTCGTTCCAATTGTATCAATTCGCCCTTTAATTTTTCACATTGTGTCATTGACAACATGTCAAGAAATTAGACAAAAATCACAGGCAAAATAGTCCATTCAAAAGGAAATTGAACGTCAATTCCTCAATCTGATACACTATTTTATCACTTGATTTCACTCCAATTTCTAAAATGGGGTCATTAAATAAATTGAATCGACACAATGTGAAAGATTCAAGGGTAAAATTGATGCAATTAGAACTACGAGGACAAAATTGACAAGAGACGAACTACTGTCCCAAATTCAACAATCCTCTTCCCAGCTAATTTGTGCAATATAACAATCCTCTTCCCAGCTAATTTGTGCTCTACAAATTAAACCTCTCAAATATGTTTCTAAAGAAAAACCTTTGTACAATACAACATAGGTGTGTCTAGGATTTGCTTTTTTTGATGGATTTTTTGGTCTTTAGTGAACTTTTTTCAAAAAAATTCAAAAAGCTCTACACCTTTGGGTTCTTCTTGATCAAACGGACCAAAAAAGAAAATAAAAATAAAATTTTTGGAAAAAGTCCACTAAAGACCAAGAAACAGCCAAAACAAGTTGATTTTTTCTCATCTTTAGTGAATTTTTTTACCTTTTAGATCCTTCTACAAACTTAATTTCCAAGTTGGTGTATGAACAGAAATAAAATTTCAGTGTTTCTTTTTCAACTTCGTTTCCAGCGTTTAATTATTTTCCTCTGTTTACAAATAATATAAATAATAAGTAGGATATTTCTGTATAGTATCAGATCCAATTCTCTTCTTCTATACTTCCTAACGAAAACTATGTTTGATCATAACTGAGAAATCTATGAACAGAGCACAATATATGTCCAATCATAAGTATAAATGAATATTAAGTTTGATGAGCTAGTACTATTGACATGTGCTACCTCAACGGTGAAGCGTGCCCAGATCTTGTCATTCCGAGTTTCCATCACCCCCTTCAGGATGGTTAATCCCAATCCTCTAATTATATCAGCTATTTCCAAAAACAACCCGCGTTCTTCACAAAGCATCTGTCACACGCGCGCACAAAAAAAAAAAAAAAAAAGAACATAATGAGCTTAAGAAGAGTACAATAATGGCAATAGGGAAATCAAATAAAGAATGCTAGGCACTACCTCCACAAGCATTTGACGAGGTGAATTCAGATCCTCAACTATGATAGGGGAGACCATAGATTGCGAGCCAACTTCATATGCCCACGTTCTTCCTCCCTCAAAATTGTCTTTTAATAATAACCCACCATCCTTATTGATAATCTGCAGTTTCATGTAACAACATAATAAGGAATCACGGTAGCTTTCTTTATTTCAATCTTTTTTCGCAATATAGGTTGTAAAATTGTATATAAATAACTATAAGAAACTATTAAGCTAAGCAAAATTCCAAATAACTATAACAAACTATTGTCCACACCTTGGACTCCCCTGTTTGTTTTAGCTTGTCAGCATGTTTGGTGACACTTTGCAAGAAAAGCATATGCTTGATAGTACGTTCCAGCAGAGCATCGATGCTACACTGTTAAATCATATCAGAAAAGAACATCAATCCCTGAACATAACAAAATATAACAAGAAAAGGAGGTGAAAAAAAAAAAAAACACAGGAAGGGGTTTAAAAGAAGAGCACCTTTGCCCCGTTAGGTACAATTTCCCTCAACTCTTTCATACGATCTTGGATCATCTGGCGATCTTTGGGCCTAGGTCTAGGGTTCTCTCCAGGTTTAAGCCTTTTGCGATTTGATTTTCCGACTTCTTCAGGCCTCTTAGAATATCCAGTCGAAGCACTACTGTTGTGCTTCTTACTTTGGCCCTGTTCAACCCATGAACTGATTTGAGATCCATAAATGGAACTGGATTCAGATTTGAAGGAACACAATTCAACCGCGCCTAATTTTGCCAGAGATTTAGGGAATCCAAGTAAATCTCCTTGCTTCTTATCAGACACACTAACTCGGCCGCAGGAGAGAGAAGCATTAGGAACAGAGGAACTACTAATCTTTGTCAATTTTGTCCTGCACGACACGCTATCATCCAAGCTCTGCTTGCCAGCAGTGTGGACCTTATTTACAACAGCATCTAATAGATTGTCGGAGCCAGTTAAAGAGAAAATACCACTGTCTGAGTTTCCTCCATTAACTGAATATAAGTTAGAATCTGCATCCTGAAGATTTGAAGATGAATAATTATTCTTACCCAAAGTTCTGGTGTTCGTGTCTGACCCATCATTAAGCAAATTATTCCAGCTTTCATGAAATAGTTTGTTCTTGAAATCCACACCCAAAATATCAAACAGGTCATCCCCTGATGAAGGTTGGACACATTCATCCTTGTATTTAGCATTTTCAGAACTTGGATGCTGATTCCCATAGTCATGCTTTTGGCTATTATGACCAAAACCAGAAATGCTCTCACTAAAATTCATATGCTCATCCAGATGGGCCAACTGGGTGTTTAGGGCTTGAAATAAATCATTTTCTATTCTTTCTTTTCTCTGACCCACCTCAATTTGAGAACACTTGTCATCTTTAGGATGATGTCTGAGATCAGAGCTCCCCGAAAGTAAGTGATTGGAAATCAAATGATCACTCAGATCAGATGTAGACACCTTTGCTTTAGAAGATTTTAACCCACTCCCCATAAGATGTGTCCAAGAGTCATCATGGGTAGCTGATCTGTCAGCAGCTGGAAGAGAACACAGATTTAAGATTGATCGCGGATGACTAGTAGATCCATTATGCAACTGACTGCTACAACTTAAGCCTCTCCCATTTGATCTCGGCTGAGACGTTATAAAGCCATTGGATGTGCTTAAATTGTTGTTAACATGTTCCCGTAAGACATCTGACAAGATCTGCTCTTCCATATTCTTTAAATTGCCATAATTTGCGGATGATGAGCCAATATAAGATTGTTCATCAAATCCAGACTTTCGATTGTTCAAAGAAGCCTGCCGATTTAACCATAGCTCTGGGTATGAAGGGATAACTTCAGCTCCTGTTCCATTTTCAAGTTGGCAAATGCTATTACCGGATTTAATCACATTTTGGGCCTGTTTTGGAATTTGAAATGTTGAAGCACCATGTAGGTCATCCTCTATCTGTCTAATTAGAGAATGAGAAGGCTGACCCACGAGCTCCATAGCTTGAGATGAGATGCGTTGTTGGTTGCAGCTGTCAGCAAAAAAAGGAACATAGTCTTTCACTTCATAACTCCCAGGTGGATCAGTAGAAACAGATTTTCCTGGATATAAAGGTACCCCAATCATTGGCACAGGTTCTTTTGATGTGTAATCGTCAGATAATAGAGCACCAGGAACACATCCTAGCTGAAGAATCAAACTCTTCACATCATTCACAATTGCCATATTCTCCGAGATCTGAGGAAGCAAAGACAACCGAAGTCTTAGAAAACTTGAAGCAACAATGAAAAATTGGTACCAACAAAAAAATAATTTGATGAAAAATTGGTAAACAGCTTTAGCATTGACCAATTAAGACTACATTTGTGATAATCAATCTGGTGTTTTCAAAGTGGAAAGAAAACATACAGAAGACAACTAAAAACAGCAGACAACTCCATAATACAGCCAGTGATGGTCAGAATGTGGCAAATGTGTATTGATAATACTTTCAAATGTGGACTTTTTAATTCCCCTCACCTAATTGGCGGGAAAGATCATTAAATAAGAGTTGCACAATCCATGAGATAACATTATTTGGCCAGTGGGCCCCATAAAAGCAAAGAAAAATAAAAAGGGACTTCCGTGTAGGTCCTAATAGGTGAACTTATTGTCCAATAGGTCCTATGATAATTAATGGCATTTTTCATCAAATACTATTAAAAAAACGTTATTAATTGTTAATTTTCAGTGACAGTTTGAAAATTATAACAAAAAATGCCACTAATTATAAGTTTTAGCGACAATTTAAAAAAATTGTCACAAAAAAACCCATTAAATTTCAACTTTCAGTTACAGTTTGAAAAATTCGTCACAGAAAAACATCACTAATTGTCAATTTTTAGCGACATGCAAAAAAATCGTCACAAAAATTATTTTTAGCGACTATTTTATTAGGACTTATTTTCAATAGGACTTGATGGAAATTAAGTCCAATTATTATGACCTATTGATAGTTTACCCAAATAACCAACTGGCAGGGACTCCCATTTTATTTTCAATTAGCATCATAATAAACAATATCTTGTAACCAACCCAACTGTTTGACCATTGATTCAAAGTCTTGACGGTCACATGAGACAAGAAACACACAATTTCTCAGTCAAGCTTGTAGAAATGCTAATTCAAACATCTTGCTGCCACTAAACTGACCAATGAGGTAGAAACCTCACACAAGATATAGGCCTCGTTTGGTTTCAATTATAAGTTCATTTTTATTATTACAACTTTTTTGATTATTAGTTTGAAAGATTTAAAATAAGTTGTGAATCTATTTGGTGCAGTTTTTCATAATCTGTAAAAAAAAGTTGAACTTCTTTGGTTAAATGAGTTGTCACATAACTTTTTTTGGTTTTTTGGAAATATCCAAGTTGCTATCAAAAGTATAATTAAGGCAAAAGAGATGGAGCTCTTTTGTCCATACACATATTTAAGGGTTTCAAATAAGTTAAGAAGGCTATAAATTTTAGCTTAAGAAAATCTCACTTTTTTTAACCAAATAAGCTATAATCTAAAATTGCAAGCAAACACCATTAGTCCACTTTTTTTTAATCAAATAATAAATAAGTTGACTACATGTTAGCAAACAGGAGCATAAACATGCATAACATGAGTTGTCAAGAGTATTAACATAACAAATACTTTTATCCAAGAAAAAGGAAAAGGAAAGAGAGAAACAAAGAAGAAATAAGCAACTTACAGCCAAGGATGAACCAAGTTGAACAACACCTTGCGGAAGCACAGGAATAACTGCAACTGTCTGGAAACAAAACAATAAATTCAGTGATTGACCAGTAAAATAGAAGGCACACAACTTGACAGTTCCAAGTTATCAGACCTTCATGCCAGACGAAAATTGTTGGCGCACCTCATTTTGAACCTGAGAGCAGCCATGAAAGATGAAGTCATATTACGTTCCAAAACTAAATACCAATTTTTTAAAATCCTGTAGCCTTTCACAAAGAAAAAAACCATAATAAGAAATTCTATACATAACCTTGTTCGCTTTTGGCAGAAATAGTCACTTTTTGGCTATTGTTTTTAAAAATTATGCCAGTTTGATAATGATATATTTAGCCAACCAAAAAGAGAAAAAAAAAACTCACACTCAACTTTCCACTAACAAAAAAGCAATTGTTTTAGTATTAACCAAACGTTACAGCTTTTTAAACATTTTTTTCTTACAAAAGTGACAAAAAAAATAAATAAATAAATAAATAAGCAAAAAAACTACTAAAAAAGCATTTTGCCCTATTTAGTTAGTATCATTATTCGGTTTTGCCTCTTCAAGTGTATAAACAGATCGACTCAATTGAAACAACCCAAAAATAAATAAATAAATAAATGTAGGATTCTAAATGATAAACCAATTACACCTGAATCAACTGAATACTCCCCAAAACTTCCACATTCTAGTTTTGTACTTTAGTAGGCAACACATGGATGCAAAATGTACAGAGACAAGCACCATCGACAATATGAATGCCATCTTCATAACGTTAGACACATTGGCGCTGTTTGGGAAGTGGCTAAAGAGGCTATTATAGCCTAAAATGAAAATTTAGCCAAAAAACCCACTGTTGAAAGCTTTTTCAAAAAAAAAAAAAAAAATAGGCTGCACAGCCGGCAGTGTAGGCACAGCCTACACTGCCAGCTACAGAAATTGTTCCATCAATGAGTAAATTACGAGTTTACCCCTTGACATCAATTTAAAAATATATATTTTTAGGGACAAATTTGTCATTTTAATTTCAAACATCATTTCAACACATTTTTTAATACAAGAACTCAAATAAAATCCATCTCATCTTCCCAAACACAAAAACTAAACTAGCCTACTAAAATAACCAAATAGCCTACTAAAATAGCCACTTCCCAAACGAGGCCATTATAACACTATACTCTAGCACCTCCATAACCACCCATTTGACCCAGTCAGTAGCCCAAGTGGTCCTCAGAGGGCATTAGGTGCAAAGAGTGTGACGTCTGAAGTTCGAGTTTATGAAAAGACATCAACTTACGTTGTAATCTAACTACTAACCGTTTTATGATATACCTCTGGTGGATGAGTTTCTCCGTCATAGTTGTGTGAATGAATCCACAGATGGTTACCAGTAAATGCAGCCCGCCCAACTAGTCTGGAAAACACAAATGCAAATAAAAATTATACCCAAGACAATCTTAGGTTTTTCCGTTGAAAAAATAAAAAGCATTACAAAGTTAAATGTAGCTTAGAAAAGGAATGAAACAAGATCGTACCCTTCTCCTACAACATTAACCCGGTTACCCATCATCATTTTGTTTATAAGAGAACTGACTTTGTCCTCTGCTTGAACCCCAACCTGAGGAGTTCGAAGTTCAGCAGAAACCCAACACGCTTCCCAATCTTCAAAAGCCAGTTCTGAGCTATCAATTCCAGGAATGCACAGAAGAGAAGAACATGGTATAGATTCATAATAGCATTCTTCCCAAATTAAAAGCCTGACAAATCAAAACGATTTATTTAAAAACTCAATCAAAATTATATTTATCAAATATACACACCTGCCACAAAATTTCAGAGTTTGTTAAGAAAATAAAAACCAAATAATTACCTAATACTAGAACTTGACAAACATTTACAGAAAGAAACAAGAAAATCAGGACATAAAATACAAGAGGAAAGACCAATTCAGAGTCACTAGATAGATAGATATATATATATGTATATATATGCATAGGTCAAAAAGAGTTTGGACAAACTTAAGACAAATCTACTTTTTTTCACTAGGATTCTGCAAGACAAAGCAAAACCAAACAGACATAACACTCCAAAAACAGGAAACAAAGGAATTCAAATTACAAAACAAAAACAGACAGCATTACCCAATAAAGCCACAACACGTCAAATCATATCTTAGAAACGTATCAATATTAGAAACCCCAACCCAAAATAAGACCAATTATTATATTAACAAAGTCTATAATTGTGATCTATAGCCCTTGTTTGGTTAAAGAGAAAATATTAGGTTAGATGAACCAATACAACCAAGTTATGGCCAGTTCAGGACAGTTCAGTGTTTTGGTAACCTCTGCATTCCTTTTTTTTTTTTCCCCTTTCCCGGTAAAAAAACAGCAAGTATGCCCAAAACCTAAAATAAAAAGATGAGAATACAAGCAAATGGACAAAAATAACAGCAAAAGCAAGACAGATAATTTCATTGTCTCCTCCCTTTTTTTTTCTTTTTCATATTCTTAGCAACCAAACAGAGGTAATAAAACATAAAAGTAAAAAGTTAGAGATCATAATATACTTCTTTTCCCTCCATTTTCTCAGCAATAATAAAACAGATTCATATTCACATGATAGATGAGGAAACAAAAATATTGAGTGAAACATACTTAGGGTTTTGGCGACCGATCTTCCAGAAAACAGCATAAGACCACTGATTGACACCACAGAGTGTCTTCAAAACTTCTTTCAACAGATACCCCATAGCTCAAAACTCGAATCAAACAGTCAACGAATCAATGAACAAGAAATAGATATATATGTATAGAGAGAGAGAGAGAGAGAGAAACAAAGAGGTTAGTGCCAGAGATTTTGCATTTTCCGGCGAGTAGGAGAGTGGGGGCTAACTTCCACGGCACGAGCCTCGTCCAGCTTGTTTGGTTCTAAGCCCACCACTCCTCTCCCTCTCCGGATCCAAATTCCCCATGATCATCCTTCTGCAACCCATTCTAGAGAGAGAGACAGAGAGAGAGAGAGAGAGAGAGGAGGAGGAGGAGGAGGAGAGAGAGAGAAAGTGATTGGACAGAGAGAGAAAAAGAGAGCTTCTGTGGGGGAGAGAGAGTGGGGAAGCTCTAAACTATGCCACAAGCCATTAGCAAGTAGTTGGCCATGACTTTCTCCATTTTCAACTCAAATATGAAATTACAGAAATATAAATAAATATATATGTGTGTGTGTGTGTGTGTATGTGAGTGAAGAAAGAGAGAGATGGGTTGGAACAGTATTTCTGGGTTCTGTGGTGGTCTGTGTAAACTGGATTGTTTGTGAGTTGGTGAGGTTGTCTTCTACACTTCTCTCTCTCTCTCTCTCTCTCTCGTTTTCTCTTCTCTTCTCTGTCTGGTTGATGATTCTCTTCTTAGATGGGGAAGAGGAACTGTGCTGCAATGCGCCACCATTAATCTACCAAAAGATAGCTCCAGAAACAACCTCGGTTTTAGTGAGAATTTCCGGTTGTGCCACTCTGGTTTTTTGTCGGTTTCTAGGTTTTTTCAGAGTATGTGTTCGTTTGTTATGGAAAAAAAATTAGTTTATTAATTTATTTATTTAAGATTAAAGGTGGGTTTTGGTTTAGGATTTGTTTGGGGAAAAAAAAAAAATTATCATGAGTCTTTGATTAATTTAGCATAACTAAATTATGCGTAACTAAATTATTTTGTTTAGGATTAATTTTTTTTAAATGAAATAATTGTAATTTAGATGTAATATTTTATCTTATTAATTTATTTTGTCTTTTTGTTCTTTTTTTAGTCCCAACCAATTTTCCAAACGGGACTTTGGGGCAATTTGGAAAACTAACTAAAAGTTATCTTGTAATTTTTAACTCATTTTGAGTTATATCATTTCTCATATTTTTTACATACAAAATGATAAAAAAATCAAAAAAAAAAACATCATTTAACCAACTTCTCAAATTACCTTAGTTAGTTTTTTGAATTTTTTACCCAAAAAAAAAATTTGTAAAAAAGTAGAGAGATGTGATAATTTGTAGTAACTTTGTAAATTTTTTGTTAAAATATCAAGCACCCAAACGGGAATAAATTGGTAAATTATAAATACTCTCTTGATATTCGTTTAAAATTCGATTACATCCCATTCCAGAAGTTTTTAATTTTATAACAAATAATTTATTTTATTAATAAATTATCAAGTCAATTAATAATTTTTAATGATGATATAAATTTATTTTAATTAATAATTTATGTAATTATATCATTGTATAAAAGAGCAGTTAAAAATTTTATTTTTTTTAATTAATTCTATTAAATAAAAAAATTCTAATATGAAGTATTTATAATTTTTCAGATCACAATGAGTAATTTGTATTTTAAACAAATCTAAAGAAATATATTTGTAATTTATTCTAATTAAATAAATGAAAATTTTATTTTTTCTTTTAACAATTTTAATACTGTTACTCTATCTTTGAATTATTAAAATTATTAAAGTGAAATATCAATAATTCGCAAATAGTAATTTTATGAATTGTTTGGTTTTCCAATTATTTTTTTTTTTTTATGGACTCAAATGTCTCATTCTAGTGTGAATTACATAAACGGCAAAATATAAATGTGTGTTATATATTGGGGGATAAATGTGAATTTTCTCATGATATTGAAATTATTAAACATAACACTTCAAAAAAATTCGTTAGTCTACTTTTTAAAAAAATAACACTCTAAAAACGTAATCCTCTAATGTAACATACTAAAAAAAATTGGTGTACTTTTCTCAAACATAATAACGTAACATTCCAAAAAAATATCTTAATGTATTTTTCTCAAATGTAACATTCTAATCAATGTAACACACAAAAACTCTTTAGTATACTTTTTCTAAATGTAACACTCTAATGTAAAACACTAAAAAACTTTTTAGTGTACTTTTTCAAACATATCAATATAACATTCTACAAAAATTATTTAGGGGTTGTTTGGGATGACCTAAATAAGTATATTTTTTGTTTTTTTATAAAAAGATGTGCAGAAAAGTAGAGAGATGATGTGATGGAAAAAAGATAAAAAGTGTGTACTTATTTAGGGTAGCCAAACTTGGCCTTAGTGTATTTTTCTCAAATATAACACTCCAATCAAGTATTTTTTTTCAAACTTAACACTTCAATACACTAAAACTCTTCAGTATACTTTTTTCAAATGTAACATTCCAATGTAACACCAAAAAATCATGCTCAACAACAAACACTTCAGCCGCCAATCCCCCAAATAAAAATCTTTCACGCCTCACAATTCCATTCCAATCAAAAAATGAATCAAAAAAATAAAAAAAAAAATGAATTACAAAAGAACATTAACTTTAACTCAAATGACACCAATCAAATAAATATAACTTTTCAAAACAAAAAAAAGACTAAGGGTCCGTTTGGGAAGAACTAAAGTTGGTTTTTTTTGGCTATTTTAGCCACAAAAGACAAAATAGGCTATTTTAGCCACAAAAAAACAAAACATCACATCCAACTCATAATCATTACACTATTCTCTCACAAAAAAAGTCAAAAAAACCAAAAAACCAAAAAATCCTTCCCGAACCAAGCTTTTTAGCCCAAACTAAGGCCAAGTTTGGGAACACCCCAAAAAGCCAAAAAGCCAAAAAGTTACTCAAAAAGTTAAAAAGTTATCACTATTCACCAAAAGTCAACAATTACGACTGCACAACTCCCAATTCTAATTTTCTCCTACAAATCAATTTTTACAATTTTTTATTACACATTTTTCCATAAAAAGTCAAAAAGTTAACCCAAACATTCATATTTTCAACCTCAACTTTTTAGTCTAAAAAGACAAAAAGTGCACTTATTTAGTCTTCCCAAACTTGGCCTAAAATAGCCAAAAAAATCAAAAAAGTCAAAAAGCTAACTCACTTCCCAAACGGAAGCTAATTAATTTATAAAATAAAATAAAAACTCTTATAACTAAATGATCAACATTCCCCCGTACAAAATTTATGGGTAAATTTTTCAAATTATTTTACTTTGTCTTAAATTGTTAGCAACATTATAAATTTCTATGGTAAATTTTAATATGCCACCCAAACTATCACACTTGCATCTTTTGCCTTATGAATTATCATTTGGAAAATTTAGTGCTTGTTTGGCATGGACCAAAAAAACACATTTTTTTGTATGCATACACTTTCTATACTTTTCTACACACTTTGTTGCATACATACATATACTATTAACATCTATCAACATCTTCTCTCTATTTTTTCATCATTACACTATTCTCTCACAAAAAAAAGTCAAAAAAACCAAAAAGCCCTTCCCGAACCAAGCTTTTTAGCCCAAACTAAAATAGCCAAAAAAATCAAAAAAGCCAAAAAACTTACCCACTTCCCAAATGGAAGCTAATTAATTTATAAAATAAAATAAAAACTCTTATAACTAAATGATCAACATTCCCCCGTACAAAATTTATGGTAAATTTTTCAAATTATTTTACTTTGTCTTAAATTGTTAGCAACATTATAAATTTCTATGGTAAATTTTAATATGCCACCCAAACTATCACACTTGCATCTTTTGCCTTATGAATTATCATTTGGAAAATTTAGTGCTTGTTTGGCATGGACCAAAAAAACACATTTTTTTGTATGCATACACTTTCTATACTTTTCTACACACTTTGTTGCATACATACATATACTATTAACATCTATCAACATCTTCTCTCTATTTTTTCTACTTTTCTACACATTTTTTTTATAAAAAGTCAAAAAGTACACTTATTTAGAATATCTCAAACCACCCCTTAGTCAAAACTCCTTTATTAGATCCTTGTTAGTGAAAATGACAACCCAATTTATTTTGTTTCATAAACCTCCTAAGGAGGAGGCGCATAATTGAGTAAAGACAAAGTCAAATATTTTTTTTTTAACAATACTGTCAAAGTAACATGTTACTGTGAACTAAAGTAGCATGTTACTGTGAGACAGAATAACATGTTACTATCCAACATAGTAACATGTTATTATTTACATCAATTTCAACTGTAATAATTTTATTTTTTTAAAAGAGTTTCATAATCGTGAAGGATCTTATTTGATCAATCTTAATGAGATGATTCTAAAAATATTAATTTTATTAAAAATCGGCATCTAAACCAAAAGTTATATTATTTTAAAGTTTAATATTTTGGTAATAGTGATATGTGTTAGACTTTTTAAAGAAAACTTTTTGTACTTATCCTTAATATATTAAAATTTTATTATGAGATGATTTTGACCAAAGTTTTGAAATTATTTTTAAGAATTAACATTTTACCTTATTAAAATTTGTTCCTTTTGTTCCAATTTACGCTAAAAATGAGTAAAAGAAAGAGAAAACATGGGTAAAAACTTTAATGAAGATCGAAAACAAAGAAGAAAAAGGGGATTAGACTATGGCTTGGTTTGGCTACGTGAGTTGAGTTAGATTGAGATTAAATTAGTTATCAAAAAATAAAATAAGTTAAAAAGTTAATATTTGACAATTGAGTTAAAAGTTAAAAAGTTTACTTTTAACTTTTTTTAAGTCACATCACTTCTATATTTTTTTTACATATTTTTTATTAAAAAAATTAAAAAATTAATTTTTAACATACTTCTCAAAATATCCAAACTATAATTATTTCACTTTTTCTTTTACAAAAGTCAAAAGTCAAAACAAATTAATCCAAACAAACTTTTTAATCCCAAATTAAAAAAATTCTAACTCTAAAATACCAATTAAATTTTTTTTTACCAAACGTCAACACAATCATTTAAAAGTTCTAAATGAAATCATTCAACAATACACAACAAATTGTAATATTATTATATTCACCTTATAGACATATGAATTTGATTGGAGAGGGTTATTTATATTCCCTTGTGCCTATTACGTTATCACTTGCAGTTGGTTCATATGATATTTCGTAAAATAAAAAAAAATTAAAAAAATATAACATTGTTGTTGGATTTTTCTAGTAAATAAAACTACCACTAGAGATGGCCTTGAAGCCGGTCATTGTTGTGTGACGATGGGAACAAACGGGAGAGAGAGGGAAGTCAGAAGATGGGTTTTGTTTTTAAACTTTTGTCGAGTGAGGGTATTTAGGTAATTTGGTTTACTTATATAAGGGTAATAACATAATTTTATCTTTTTTATGTAGTTTTATTAAAACTTAAAAGACAAACAGTAATAAGAGAGATTAGTTAAAGACAAGTGTCAATGTAATAATTTGAGAGGACAAAGCAAAATTTTGCCTTTAAAAAGAATATTAAGGGGTGTTTTGGAAAGTGTTGGTAAAAAGTAATTTTTTTAACTTTTTGTAGCTTTTTAGTTTTTTTGTGTTAAAAATGCTAATTTTTTTTTGTGGCTTTTTTTATGATTTTTT